TATATATATATATATATATATATATATATATATATATATATATATATATATATATATATATATATATATATATATATATATATATATATATATATATATATATATATATATATATATATATATATATATATATATATATATATATATATATATATATATATATATATATATATATATATATATATATATATATATATATATATATATATATATATATATATATATATATATATATTGTTATACATATCTTATGCATATATTTATTTTTCATTTTTCATAGAGCAAATAATAGTCTGTTAATAATGTTAGTCAAAGGATTTTCCACCAGTTTTATGTCAATGTGCTCTGATGGTCAGCTTTGGGTCAGTTCATATTCACTAATAATCAGCTTTAGGATAGGTTTATTTTAATGTGCAGTTTTGGGTCAATTTTTTATTAATATGCTTTATTTGGCAGTTTTGGGTTAGTTTTTTGTTAATGTGCAATTTTGGGTCATTTTTCTCTAATGTTTACCAATAGTTTTATGTTAACATGCTCTGATGGTCAGTTTTGGTTCAGATTTCTGTTTATGTGTAGTTTTGGTTCAGCTTTATGTTAATGTATAGTTTTGGGTAAGTTTTATGTCAATATGCTTTATTGGTCAGTTTTGGGTCAGTGCTATGTTAATGTGAACTAATTGTCAGCTTTGGGTCAGTTTTATGTTAAGGTGCTCTGGTCAGTTTTGGGTCAGTGTTATGTTAATGTTTACTAATAGTCAGTTTTAGGGTAATGTGCTCTGATGGTAAGTTTTGGGTCAGTGTTATGTTAATGTTTACTAATAGTCAGTTTTAGGGTAATGTGCTCTGATGGTCAGTTTTGGGTCAGTGTTATGTTAATGTTTACTAATAGTCAGTTTTAGGTTAATGTGCTCTGATGGTCAGTTTTGGGTCAGTGTTATGTTAATGTTTACTAATAGTCAGTTTTAGGTTAATGTGCTCTGATGGTCAGTTTTGGATCAGTTTTAGGGTAATGTGAACTAATCATCAGTTTTGGATCAGTTTTAGGTTAATGTGCTCTGATGGTCAGTTTTGGATCAGTTTTAGGGTAATGTGCTCTGATGGTCAGTTTTGGATCAGTTTTATGTTAATGTTTACTAATAGTCAGTTTTAGGTTAATGTGCTCTGATGGTCAGTTTTGGGTCACCTTTATGTTAATTGTTAGTTTTGGGTCATTTATGTTGATGTGAACTAATCATCAGCTTTGGGTCAGTTTTATGTTAATATGCACTAACGGTCACTTTTTGGTCAGGTTTATGTTAATGTTTACTAATAGTCTGTTTTGAGTCAGTTATATTTTAATTTGCACTAATGGTCAGTTTTGGGTCAGTTTTATGTTAATTTTCTACTTGGGTCAGTTTTATGATAATGTGCACTAACGGTCAGTCTTGGGTTAGTTTTATGTTAATATGAACTAGCGGTCAGTTTATGTTAATGGATGGTCAGTTTTATGTTAATGCTAAGTTTTGGGTCAATTTTTTTTAATGAGCACAAATGGTCTGTTTTAGATCAGTTTTTATCAGTTAACTTGAACTAGTGGTCAGTTTTGGGTCAGTTTTATGTTATTATGCTCAAGTGGTTATGTTTTGGGTCAGTTTTATTTTAATGTGCTCAAGTGGTCAGTTTTGGGTCAGTTTTATGTTAATATGCAATTTGGGTCAGTTTTCTGTTAATGTGCAATAATGGTTAGTTTTGGTTCAGTTTAAGTTAATGTGAAATGACAGCCAGTTTTTGGGTCAGTCTTATGTTAATGGTCAGTTTTGGGTCAGTTTAATATTTAATGTT